TCAAACAATCAACGTTTGGCCAATACCATTCAAGTAATGTAGGCGTCAAAAAAATACTTGGCAGACTGTAGGCGTCAAAAAAATACTTGGCAGACATCCAAATACCAATTCAAACAACATGCGAGAACAATTTATTCGTCATCAGGCAACACCAAGGTGGCGGCGGCAACTCATGGTGTCGCGGCTAAGGCGGCGACAGCATATAGTGCCGCGGCTTAAGCGGCGACAGCTTGTCGTGTCGGGGGATGAAGCGCGACAGCTTGTCGTGTCGCGGCTTGGGCGCTGGCAATCTAGGGTGCCGCGGCTATGTTAAAGGAGTGTTTGCAGCAGTTACGAAACAGTTATATGATGATTTTTGAGGGCCGCACGTGGCAGCATACCAGAAACAGAACGGTGTGCTGCACGTGGACAAGCAGTTAAACACGAAAAAAGGTGGTTAAAAGTCGTGGGAGAGCGGTTTTAAGCACGATCAAAACGTGCTGATAACTGCCTCTTCGGCCGCGGCAGCTTACACTGCGCGCCAATGGGCCGCGGCAGTGTAGACTGCAGCGGCCAAGAGAAAAACGGTCAGTCGCAGTTTATTTCGCCTCGCCGTTTCAACTGTGGTGCCACTGAGAGCCCTATAAAATACCTCCCTAGGCACGAATTAAAGGACAGAGAGCAATTTTTGGAGGCAGAGTATACTTGAGTCTTTGGTGATTTTGAGAAAGAAAGAGAGAATTTTTACCCTCTGACAAGCATCATTTGGTGAATCCTAGAGATCTAAGCTCAGACTTGATCTTTGGAAGAAGCGGAAACATCTAACATCGATAAGATATTCGTTTTCAGATCTTTACTTCGATAAACGAAGGAGAGATCCTTAAACACCTCTCGATCTACGAATCGGTGGTCCACGAACTAAAGCATTCCCGGCACAGGCAAAGTCCGCACAAAAGCAGGAGTTGATAAACAATTTCTGTGTTATTTTCTCGAGAGTTGTATTTTCTTATTATTTTCATTGTAATTCTTTGTAAACGATCGAAGTTTTAAATGGAATCTGGCAATGGAAACAACTTTCGCTGAAAACAAACTGGCGACCACAGTGGGAGCCAGCGCCTCGCTGCCGAGGCCGCAGTGTCGGCAGCGATTAAGATCATCGTACCGAAGAGATCGAATATGAATTCGATCAGGCAAAATACGAGGAGTATATGTCATCCTCGTCATCAAAATCCTCCTCACGCCCGCAAGTGCAGGAAGATTTCTTCTCCCAAAGAAAGTTCCCGGAGTCTTCAGTTCCAATGAAGACCGCAGGTAGAGATTCTTGCCAAGTCCATCGCAAAAGATCAACCTGCGACATCTCTGTTCCGAATGACCCTTCACCAGTTCAAGGGTCCTTAACCAAGATGCTCGCCGGTATTGACAAAGAGAGCTCGTCAGAGACAACGTCAACGGCCGCGCTCGGTCAATTGGCTAAGGCCATGCAACAGACCGACGTGGTCCATTATTACATCGGACCTAAAGTCGAGGAATCAAAAGATGGTTTCAGTTGCCCCAAAGCAAAATAATCACATCTCTGCACAGCTTACGACAGAGGAATGGACTCTGGTCAAAAGAGCTGCTGTTCTAGAAACACCCTGAACGGAGCGTATACAAAGGCGTCAAGCAAAAGCTTGCTCACGCTCTGTGCCGCTTCGTCAACCAGTGCAGGAAAACAAAAAGAAGTGGTAGATGGAAACAACAAAAGAAGCTGTAGAGTTTGGGTTACCAAAAAGCGAGACACGCCAAAGAATACAGAGGAAAGTCAGTCTTCAACATCGCGCGGATGCACAGACTAGTCGGCGGCCTCATCAATAACCGGCGGCAGCACGTAAAGCTGGCCGCGGCTCATCATATACGCGGCACAGCCCATACTGCCGGCGGCGCCATCAAACAAGCGGCGACAGTTATGGCTGCCGCGGCAACAGAAGAAGGTTCAATGAAAGACCCCCATTTCCAACTCGCTTCAGCATCCGTACCCAAGCCCGTCTGGCTGGCGTCACCATTTTCAGTGAAGATTCAGGAGCAAAGCCGGAACATATTAAAATTCAAACTCAGCAGAAATTAGATGCTCCTTATTTGGGCATTTGATAATCAGGGCAAAGCCCCAACCAAAGAGCAGTCAAACGACCAGCAAGTAAACCCATTATATGTTTTTCTTCTTTCTTAGTGTTCTATAGGGGTCGTAACATCCTCGCTGTCAGAACTGCAAAGTCCAGAACGAGAGAATAGCCAGTTGCATCTCTGCGTCTAGGACCCGATGATGACACATTCACCCAAGGCGGTGGATTTTAAAAATTCCAACCTTGGATCGCTCAGAAGGGCGACAACAGATCGTCCTGCGCACGTTAAACAAAGGTTCAGAAGAAAGAGATAGGTTGCTCAAAATCGTAAACGATGAGCTGTACTATCAGAAAAATAACTCAAGAAAAGAGTTTGTACAAGAAAACGAGTCTCACTCGCTCCCTGTGAGAGACTCATCAAGGCAGTGCTGACAGAATGCGGATGCTCTAGCCGATTCAACAAGAAGTCTGCGGCGTATTTCAAAG